ATCGAAGAGGGCGGTGCTGAGAAAGGTCGCCTCAGAGCGGAGCGTGCGTGTTGTGCGGCTTTCAATGATCTCTTGGTACTGTCTCTCGGACAGGCGGAGCTGCCACGGTACCCAGCTGACGCTGCTGCCTGGGGAGAACCAGCGATGAACGATGCTGAGGAGGCGAACGCTAGGCATTGCGTCGCCGTCCAGGTGTTCCCCTGGATAGTTGCGGTGAAAGTCTTTGACGAGCTGTGCGATGCTGTTGGAATCCAGGCGCGGCGGCGCGTGTTCAGCCCAGGCGTTGAGCTGTGTGGGTGCAGTGCCTGAGGACGGTACAGGTGGCGCGGCAGCATCGGATGCTTCCGTGATGGCTTTGGCGCGCTGAAGCGCTCGGCGGAGCCTGGCCATTGCAGGGCTGTGTAGGGGGTCCGACACTTCCATGTCATCCCACACTTGCTGGTGCTCTGCGGAGCAAAGAACATCAAGTTCGGATATGCTGGAATATGCGAAAGCGAAGTCAGGGATCCACAAAATCCCCAATGTTTGAACCGCGTTGCTGAGCGGAGCGGGGACTTGCATGGAGTCAAAGAGACCTTGCAGAGCGTCCACGGATTCAACGGCAGAAGTGTCTGCCATCAGCGATAGGAATGCAACAGACAGGCGGGGTTATCTGAGCAAAAAACGGCTGCGGGACGATACGGAAAAAGGGGGGGGACCGAGGCACAAAACACGGCAGAGCGAGGCCGAAAACAGGCCAGGGCGCACGTCATGACCTTGGTGCAGGGCAGATATGCTTGTGCGTGAGAGGAGAACGCTCAAGTGAAGATGTAGGGCTTTTTTCTATTCATGCATGGCCGGCGCGCCGAGACACGCAGGCTTTGCGTCTGCAGAACGGAGGCGGGGGGGCCTCTGCTGTGAAAGATGCTGTGCCGAGTGCAAGGCCGCACGCGGTGCGGAGTGTGCCTGAGGCGTCGGGCGGGGCGAGGCAATGCCAGCAGCTCCAAGGGCCTGTGCAAGCGAAGAGTGGCAAGTCGTGTTGGTCTGCAACGGCAGACGCGTTGGAGGAGGACACAGAAGAAACCTCCGCTTCGGATGACGAGCTTTGCGTGCGGCGCAATGCGGCGCGCCGCACCATGGCCGCTTCCACGTCCGAACAATCCGAGATGTGATCATCCGGAGAGAATTGTTCTATGGGATCTTCCTCAGCAGCCGACGGCGGTAAGTGTTGTGAGGTGCCTTGCATTGCATGTGATGGCTCTGTGTGCTGGTGAAGCGAATGCAGTGCCTCGTGGCGAGTTGTAAAGACGGACCATGGGCCTGAGAGGAGGTCCTTGCTATGCAGGGCTTGCAAGGGGGGAGTGCTGGGCAGCGCGAAAGGGGGCTCCGGTATGGGAGCCTGGCCGCCTCTGGCCACGCTGCGGCTGGGGCGCCAGCCCTCACTCATGGCGACGGCAATGCTGTGTTGAGCGTCGAGACTATCGAACGTATCATTTCTGCTGTAGAGGGCAGCGCTGTCCCTATGATGGCCAGCTGACAGTCTCATGTCTTTGCGAAGGCGGCGCTGTGCGGCTGCCGCGAGAAGTGTACTTTTCATGCTACGCAACGTCAATTGCTGCGCTTCGGCCGGCGTGAGGCCGGTCTGCGTCGCCTCCCACGGCAGGGTGGCGGCCCAGCGGAGACAAAGCACTGCTGTGCAGTAAGACGCAGGGGCAAGTTCTTGCAATGCGTGGCTGTCCATGGCTGTATTGACCCAGAGGAAGTCGGGATCACCCTCACTGTCTTTGAATGGTGTGCATGCGCGGTGCAGGGCAGACAACCAATGCAGTGTCCAGCACGACGACAGATCTCGGCCGGTGAGGCCCGCAATGGTCACAGCGAAGGGTTGCCCCTGTGAAGTGGTCTTTGTCGCAAAACACACCCCAAGCAAAGCGGTGGACGTTAAAGAAAGCGATGCGAAGTCCACTCTCTGGAGGTCACCGAACCGAAGGCAAGCGTGAATTGCAAGGAGAGCTGCGCCCAAGACCAATGCAGTGCAAAGAGGGGTCGATGCGTTGCAGACATGTCGCTCCCAGGCGGCGACAAGGGCCCAGGGTATGGGCAGCGCTTCTCTCCTATCTTTGGATGTGCTTTGCGTTGCGTAGGCAGATATAACTGGGCTGTGCATGTGGATGGATAAGGCGTTCCATTGCGCATGTTTGTAGAACCAACGCAGTGCTTTGATCGCTGAGCTTGCGCTTATGCGATGGATTTCGAGGTCCTGCTTATGCGATGCTCGAGCTGCGGCAAGGTAGTCCAAAACCGCCGCAAGGGACACTTGTGCGAATTGAATCCCCATGCTATCAAGAAAGCCCATGAACTGCGATGCAATGCGGAGGTAACGCTCCAGGGTACCCGGGGCGAATTTGCGGATGACTGCGAGCATGTGTTGAGATGACTCCTTGGAAGGCAGGAGAGATTGCAGGAGCAGGGAGGCCACGCCGAGTCGCAAGAGCAGCTGGGACCAGTGTGTGCCACACTGTTGCATCCTGACCTCAAGTGACCTGCGGGTGCGTGACAGTTTGACAGGCCGAGGCCGTGGTGTGCGAAGCACAGGCTGAAGCAGCGGGGCGGAGGGAATGTGTGTGGTGACCGGGGCCGCCGGGCCGGGGCACGCACTGGATGCTGTGCTTGTTGTCTGCGGTGCTCGGAGGCTGGTTGGCTTGCTCTTGGGCGGCGGAGGCGGCAAGCCCCCAAGGTGCAGAGGAGGAGGCGATCGGGAGCGCTTGGGGGCCCCTGGTATCCGAAAGGCTTCAAGAGAATGTTGCCTATGGGGGTATGCAATGACTCTGCATGGCGATGCTTTGGCTGTGGCGGGAGGCACTGCTAGGTCCGCCACCGTAGGCAGGGAGCCATGCGACTGTGCTTTGGCTCTAAGTTTGCGTTCTTGGATTGGAAGGGCCGGGCTTTTGCTAGACGCGGCCAGGAGATGTAGCACACTTGCTGGAGCGGGTATTTCTTCGGCGGTGCCATGCAGAAATTCATCGGATGAAACCGAGATATGGGAGTCAAAATCCGGATGCACTGTCTCGATGTCTGGTGGGCTGTCTGGCTGAGTCGGGGCCACCTCGCCCGGCAGGGCCTGAAAAGCTTCGTCCAGGTGCTCCTGGAAAGAGTAATCAAGTGTGCTGGGCAGAGCTTCCGTGGTGGCCTGTGGCGCAGAGTCATCGGCACTGGCTGCGGGGAGCCGAATTGGAAAAGGCGGTGCGGTGTCCGCGGTCACGGTAGGCAAGCCAGGCGAGGCTTGAAGCGATGCCGACCAACGGCGTCTCATGCTTATCCGTTGCTACGGCTGTTGAGCAAGGAAAAGGCTGCGGAGGCGTGCGTGTGCAGAACATGCGCGCGCAGTAAGACCTAAAGAGAGTGTGTGCGGTACACGCGCGCGCGAGACGAGAGGGATCCTACGAGAGCGAGCTGCATCACGGCGGGCAACAGCAGTTCAACCGTCAGAAAGGAAAGCACCTGGGCCTGGAAGTGCAGAGCTGGGCTTGGGGCCGTGTGCTCGTCTGAGGACCTGCAGGGCAAGGCTTTGGCATCTTCCAAGAAAGATGCAAGTGCCGAGCCAAAGGCACAGCAACGATCGAAGTTGTCCTGCAGGAGGGCACAGAAAGCGAAAGCGAATGTTCGAGAAAAGCGTTCGAAGCAGCAGTGCGAGGCGACGCACCATTTTTTGATGCAATGCAGAGCCCAAGTGACAATGCATGCGTTGCTGAGCTGCGTCAGCAGCGCCCAAGCGGCGCAATGCTGAAAAAAGAGCTGCAGGATTTCCCGAATTTGCGTTGCAAGCTGCGCGGTGCGGGGCTAGGCTCTGAGCTGAGGTAGTGCGTTAGGGATTTTTTAGGGGGGGCGGTGCAGAGCGTTGCAAGGCAGAGCTAGTCGCTCAGCTCTCCGAGCTCTTCGAGCTCTTTGCACTTGCTGCAGCGGTGCAGGAGGTGACTGTCCTCTTCCCAGGCCTCCTTCAAAGGCTTATTGCAGGGCCGTCTGCGGAACCGGCAATGCGGTGCGTCGCAGGCAACTGCGCAAACGACACGGCCCGTTTTGGGCAATCTGTAAGCTGGCCGCCTGGACCGTCGCCGGCAGTGTACCACTTGACCTCTGTCATGACCCAGAAGCTTTGCGGGAAGGTGCCGGGCGGTGCGGGGCCTTGCTCGGCCGGTGCAGGGCTTTGCGGTGGGGGCCCGTGCGGGGGAGGGCCGGGCGGGGCAGCCCAGCCGCAGGCAAAGGCGGGCGGCGGGTACCAGGCCTGTGCTTTGCCATAGCCTTTGTAGTAGGCCCATGGGTCCACGGCCGGCACGTGGGGCGGTGGCACGCCAGGCGGTGCGGATTGCCATGTAGGATCCACATATGCTGGGCCGGGCGATGCATCGCGGCCTTGCTTGCCCTTGCCGGGACCCTTCCCGGCAGCTGGTGAAGGCGATGTGCTGCGGTTCCGGCGCGGGGTTGCTGGGCGGGGGGCTGTGGAAGGCGCTGCGGAGCTGGACGATGCAGAGGAGTCGTGCCATGCATCTGTGATCTCCTCCTCTGCGACGTCAGCCCAGTTCTTGCCCGCCTTGTTCCGCGTCGGCTTGTGCGGGGCAGGGGCGGGCAATGCAGTGCTGTCATCCTCCTCAGGGATTGGCGGCTGCCCCAGGACAAACTTCTCTTGCTGTGCGGGGGTGCCTTTGCGGGGCTTTGCGTCGCGGTGCTGCTTGCGCTCGCGACTCTGTTCCGGCTTTGGGGGAGCCCCCTGAAACATGGGCGGTGCAGGGGGAGGGCTGGGCTCGGGCGGAGGGGCCGGCTGGGAGGTCGGGGGCGGTGCTGCCGCCGATTTTGTAGGCGCCGCCTTGACCATGGGCGGTGTCTTGCGGGGCAGTGGCGGTGTGGTGCTGGGCGGTGTGGTGCTGGGCGGTGCGGTGCTGGGCACCGTGTGCAAAGGCGGTGGCGGTGCAGAGGAGGGCAAGGGACCAAACAAGGTGATCCTTGCCTCGTGAAGGTCGGCCTCAAGCTCAGCCATCTTGGTAGCACCCAGCTGGCGCAGTGCCGCCAAGCGATCTCGGCGCTCAGCCGCCATGAGGTCGCGCAGTGCGTCGACAGTGGCACCGGCCATGCTGTGCGGTGCGGTGCGATGCGAAGAAAAAGAAGAGTGCGATGCGAAGCAAAAGCTCGAGAGAAAGGCTTCGACATGCGAAAGCTCCACAAAGAAGTAGGTGCAGTCTCGTGCCGTGACAGAGCGAGTCACAGGAAGGCTTGCAATGCAGGGCAGTTTTTGGTGGCCGAAGAAGTCGATGTTGGTGTACCTGTGGCAGGGCTTACTGGGTTTAGGGCAAGAAGCAACCACAAAGGGGGAGTCACAACAATAGCGAACAGCGGAGCTGGGGGCGCACATCTCCGAAGTACCTGACAGACGCAGGTAAATGAATAAGAGCTGCTGCCCGAAGCCAACAAGCGATGCTGGGGTGGGCAAAGCGATGCCGATGACGTTTCGAAGCCTTGCCGAGGCAACTCCAGAAACTGAAAATTGCAGAGACAGCACCTGAGGCAAGTACCGAAGAAAAAAGGAGGGGCAAAGCGATGCCCTCATTGCAGCCTGGTCGGGAACCGGCTGAGGAAAAGAAATGACCTGACAGGCGCAGGCCTCGTCCAGGGCACGGCGGTGCCTGGCAGAGAAATATAAAGAGCATGGCACGCAGTGCAAGAAAGAGAGCGAGCGTCACAATCTGTCTTTTACAAAAACTCGACCACGCAATGCTGTGCAGTGGTAGGGTCAAAGGGCAGGCGCGGGGCCAATTGTAACAGCTGGCCTCGTGCCCTAAGCCAGATAAGTGCTGGGCGACCATTTAGCCTGTGCACTGCTAAGCGTTGCTGTGCGCTGGAAATATCTCGGAGGTAACTGAAGCTGGTCGCGCGCAGCTGCCTTATGCTGTGCGGTGCGAGCATTCGAAAAAAGCAAAACCAGAAATGGCTGTCGAAGTCCTGCAGCGCAAGGCCGTGGCTGGGGAGTGAAATGCCATCTCTATCCCAGCAATGCAGAGCATGCCAGTGCAGTGCCGAGAAAGCAGAGCGCAGCAATCGAAAGCTCGACATGTTGAACCGATGCATTGTCGTTACAATGGCGAGCTGCGTGGTTGTGCGCTGTTGTAAGCTTTGCCAAACGAGCAATAGCAATGCAAAGCGATGCTTCACCGAAATTCCAGTGGACAGCCACAGTGATGTCGCTCCATTGCAGGCGGAACGCCAAATACAAAAGAGCAATGCAAGGCGACGCTTGCGGAGCGTTGCTGTGCACAACCAGAGCAAAGCTGAATATGCCATGGCGAAAGCAAGGCAGTGCAGAAGGTTAGTCGCTAATATCTTCTATAATGTCCTGCATGAACATCCTGCCGGTGTTCTTCAGGTATTGGTGTACCTGCAAGTCACGCTGGGTCATGTCCCAGCATTGATCCATTCGGCATTTGACGCCCTTGTTGAGCTGTGCGATGCGTCGACGCGATGGCATGTCCAGGCTGAGCAGAAAAAATCCAGCGAAAGCGATGGACTTCATGCAGTGCTCAAAAACGGCTTGGTTGGCATCATGCGGTGCAAGCTTTGACATATACCCAGGGTGCGTGGTATACAGCTTTAGTCGAACATCAACCATGGCGGCTTGGCGAGGCGGTGACCACGTGCTGTGCGTGGCTGTGCTCGAAGATGCCGCTGCGGATATCTCCGAGTGTGCCTGCGGAGCGGTGCGGGGCCGCTTGGTGTTGCCTTGCCTAGAGGACATGGCAACGCAAAGTAGCAAGTTCAGGCTGCGGCGAGAGAGCAGAAAATGCGCTGCGGTGTGCTTAGTCCAATTCGTGCAGAAAGGAACTGGGCAAATCAGTGTTTTGCGGTTGGCCCTCAAGCGTGGCAATGCGACGCTCCAAGATTCGAGCGTAAGTCCACAGGGCTTGAAGCCTTGCATTGAATGTGTCAATGCGTTCATGTATGCGAGTGTCACTTTCCAGGGTTTCGTGGGCCAAGTCCTGGATGGCCCGAACTAGCTGCCAGGAGGTAGCCGGTTCGGGCTCCATGGCGCAGCGTGTGGCGATGCTAAGCGATGCTGTGCCAAGCTATGCTTTGCTAAGCTAGCCAAGCGAAGCAGTGATGAAAAAATATTGAAACAAAGCGTGGTGAAAAAGAAAAGCAATGCCTTGCCTTGTATGTAGCTGTGTGTTCTAGGTTAGAGCCGATATGTAAAGAAGGTACGATTCAGTCACTACCTAGAAAACACAGCTGACACAACAAACAAACACACAGCTAGCGATGCTTCTTTTGACTTTCGCCATAGGCCATTACGGCTTTCTGGTAAAGCGAGCGCATTGAAGGAGCCTTTCTCATCGTGAACATGCGACCGTCCAAATCTCCCAACAGGAGTTCCTGCTTTCGCCCATTCTGTCGTAGCACAAACACACGGGGATCCCGCGGTAGTGCTTCTCGAACATCACTGGTGCGCTTGACGTGGAAAATCTGTTGACCACGCATGGCCGCGCTGACGTAGACCCTGAACTCCACGCCATCATCGAGGTTTTTGCCGCTTGGAAGGATGGCAAAGTGTCCAGCCTGATAGTGCTGTTCGAGGTCTTTCAAAAAGAGGGATCGCGTTGGCTGGGTCGTCCACTCGGATGTCGGCCATTGCTGCCGGTGTTGGCTGCCCTTCTGGTATGATGTGCTCCGCCACTGCTGGAAAAGCACTTCCCCATCCAGGTGACTTGGCCCATCTTTCCATGCTTGTCAAGGTGTCACGATATATATCCGACAGAATGGCACAGCGCAGTTCACCATTTCCTAGTGCGTACTGCTCTCCCACCTCAACAGACCATCTGCTTCTTTTTGCAGTCCGGTCGCCACGATCATATGGTATGGGGGCAACGCGAGATGTCCGCATCACTGTCTCAGCGATAACCTTCTGAAGCGGTGCCGCCTGCTTCAGTTCATTCAGATGCGGCACCACTTGCTTTTGCAGTTCGTGCTTGATCGCGGCAGCTATGTCAGGCGTGTCCTGAGTCGTTTGATCTAGCAAGATAACACCTCAAAACCAAAGCCGTACACACAAAAGCCTATAACGTCCGAACACCTGCAACCCTTAAGTAAACCCGAACAAAAACCACCCGAACCACCAAACTAACCAAGCAATATAAATCCTAGCAAGGACCAAACCTCCTAGCGTGAACTACTTTAAGGGACTAAGTAGTGGGGATTAGCGGGGAAGGGAAACCTAGAACCAAAGGAGGAAAACATGAGGATGTGTTGGGACGAGATGCCTCTGCTGGTTGCGATCTATCTGAGGGATCGTAGTAGGCATACAGAGCAGTCGCTGTCGTTGTTCCCTCCTCAATTCGGAGAACTGGCGTGTCAATTGCAAACTCATGTTCCCCATCGTTCACTGCTGCTTCGGTCCGGAAAAGTTTGAGGTCACCTGCGCCTAGACCTTCCAGATGTCGTTGTGCCTTCCCCACAACCGCCTCCAGTAATGTGTACACATTCTTCTCCTGCCCGAGTTCAGTCAGGCGCACCATGACATTATTGCCACCATGGACTTTCACATACCACTCACTTCGTTGAGTTCTGCGTGGAGATCGACTGCGGTCAGGGTTATCACTACCATCCGCCATGGCACACCAAACTGTCGTTGTAAACACTGCTAACTGCACTCTCTGACCACCGCAACATGACCTTGATACACACACAGACCTACTGTTGTAGAAGGTCAAAGGCTCTGGCAGCATGCACAATCCAATTTGGGAGGCACTAGATGATCTCGAACCAGTGAAGCATTGGCAAGCACATGGTCATCCCTTTTTCAGCCTAAACTTAGTATAATCTATAAGAGAACCCTTGCCCATTTTGGGTAATAATACCACCTTAGGGAATATGGATGGG